GGTGTCCAACCCTGGTTGCAGGAGGAGGTGGGGCAGCCCAGGTAGCTGCTAGGCTGCCGCTGGCTTCTTGGGCCAGCTTCTGGGCAGACCACCCTGCTTCTTGGCACAGCCTGAAGGGCGTGAGCTGAGGATAAGGCTTCCAGGTTGGCAATCGGAGCAGCCACTGCTCAAGTTGAATTGGCTCAGCCGATAAGGGCGACTGGGCCAGAGAGGGTGGGTCCCCATTAAAGTCCGGGTGTGGGGGAAACATTAACCATGACTCCCAAGGGGCATGGAGGGGCAGGTGGAGTGTGGTCAGGAGGAGGAGCCCATGTGGCCCTCCCAGGACCTCTCCAGCCACCTCAGTCCAGCCTGAGCCCCAGCCCTGCTCAATGGGTGTGTGGGGAGCACCTTCCCTTCTGCAGAGGAGCCAAGCTTTCCTACCCTAGTCTCAGGAGGAAGGGGCCAGCCTAGGTCCTGGGGCAAGTGCCACCTGTCACAGAGCCCCACAGTCATCTTGGGATCTCCCAGCATCACCTGATGAGCAAGGACTGACTGGGGAGGGGTCCCCAGAAACACCCAGGCATCCCAGTCCTCTGGGATCCTCAGCCCCAAGTCCCTAGGGCAAGCTGGGGAGTGTGTCTGTCCTCGCCTCTGGCAGCAGCCATGGGAACCTGCTGCTGCTCAGATCCCAGGCTAGCCCACACGGACTGCTGAGCCAGAGGGCCCGATAAAGACACGGGGGTTGAAAGAAAACCACCCGAGTGGAACGATGGCAGCACCCCGACATGCCCCACCACTGCCGCATTTCCTGACCCCAGCCGTGGGTGCAGAGAAAGTGGACCTGGGGACATCCCCAGGCCTGAAACGGGCACCCAGCTTTGGGGGAGAGGGAGGCGGTTAGAGGTCAGGAGTCGTGTGGTCAGGCAAGAGTAGGAGGCTGGGTGGACAAGTGTGCCCCGCCTGGTCACGGGGGTCCTCCCCTATCATCTCCATGTAAAAGACTGAGCAGGGGCACGCAGCAGCTGAGACAGTCCTAGATGCTCCCACCTCACCTCACACCCCTCCGTCTGGGCACGGGGCTGGGCTGGACGCAAGGCTGGGGCTGGGGCAGGGCAGGGACCACAGCAGAGCGATTTTTGCTTATGTTGCTGCAGCTGCCGCAGCAAGCATCAATCATTGATGCTGTGGGCATCCCTGCCTGTGGAGGGTGGAGGCGAGCAGTGCCAGTCAGGCCATGGGGGCAGGGCAGCGGCTCTGCTGATGCTTCAGGGCCTGGGGAGCCTCGGTTTCTCACCCAGGCCCCGCCGGGGCTTACACCCCAGGCCCTGGCACCCAGCCTCAGGAAGGCTGTGGGCAACCAGTGGGCTGGGCCGGTGTCCCCATCTCGGTGGTCCAGGGAAGAGGTGGAGGCTGCGTGAATGCGACGCCTTCTCCCCGGGGTGGCACCTGCAGCAGGTGTGGGGCCTTGTATGTGACAGGGGCGGCTGTGAGTTGGGCTTGGGCCTGGTGATGCTGTGGGTGGGGGCATGAATTCCTGAGTCCAGGCCCACTTCTGTGGTCCTCCCTAGCCAGGCGTCTGTCCCCAGAGGAGCACATGGGGAGGAGACTGGAGTTGGGTGTGCTGACAGGAGCACAGGCTTCAGCTGGTGGGGAAGGACTGGGATGGGGGCTGGTAGCCCCTCTCACCTTCTCCCATGCTCCCACAGCTGTGACCCTGGAGCCCCGTTTCAGCTGCTGAGGCCCTGGTGTGCGGGTGGAGGGATTCTGGCTGGCCCCTGGGGAGCCAGTCCCCAGCCGCACATAGCCGCAGCCTGCCCGTTTGTGGGGGTACACTGCCCAAGTTGCAGGCCCTCCCAGAGGCATCTGGAGTGAGATAGAGCCCTCAGGACCCCAAGTTTCCTGAAGTGGGGACGCTCTCTGGACAGACACCCCAAGGTGTCTTACTCAGGACACTCTCAGCTTAACCCTCAAGCTAGGAGAAGACCCCCAGAAGGAGGGTGGGAGGGGCAGTCCCCAGCTCCTCTGACAGTCACAGCCAGACTGCAGCCCCAGCACTCAGGGCAGGGCAGAGCCAGAGGCCACTGCCGAGAGTCACCAGCCCTCTGTCTCAGAGTGGGCAGGAGAAGGGAGGAACGGCCTCCGGGTGGAGCAGGCCCTGCCCAGACCCCATCCTGAATTCTGGGGCCACAGGGGAGCACGGCCCAGCGGCACGTGTGTGTCTGTGCCCACCTTGGAAGTGGGCAGCCCCATGCAGGGCAGAGGCGAAGTTCCTGGACCCAGGAAGCTGTGATTGGCTCTGGGATCATTTCTTAGCTAGGGGTGGGCAGGCCCAGTGTTCACAGCTAGGTAAAGGTCTCAGCCACCCCAGGCTGAGGGGCAGGACCAGGGCAAAGTCCTCCCGAGTGTGGGGTCCCCACACTCCCGTGACGCCTCGCTGAACTTGCACTCTTACTTGGTCCCCACCAAGATGGCCTGGAGGGCTCTCTCGTCTTGCTGAAGGAAAACAGAGGCAGGGGCAGAAGGTAGTAGCCCAGGGACGGGGACATGTGCGGGGCAGCCCCGGCCTCCCCACCCAGGGCTCCGTCCTCACCCATCCCGCAAAGCTGAGGGGAGTTCCCATAGCCCTGTGCAGATCACGCCAGACAATCAGGAGAGAGGCCAGTTCATTTGGATGGGGGCCGAGGGGGACACATGACCTAGTCAAAGGCATATACCTAATGGGGCTGAGGACACAAAGGTGGACGAGTGCCCTGAGCTGCCCCTTGTTCCCAGGCCCTGCAGTCAAACTCAGACACAGAGGACCGGTGGGCCAAGCCCCCAGCAGACCAGGCAGTCAGGGACACACACAGAGGTGTATGCACCCAGGCACCCTAGTGGCTCTCTCCCTGTGCCCAGGGAGTGACTGACACCGGGTGAGCAGAGCGGGGTGGGTCCCTGGGGAGGGAGGTAACTTCAGGGGCTCTGGACCCCAGGCAACACTGCTCAGCCCTGAAAGAAGGACACTGCGAGGAGTAGGGGTAAGACCCACGCCAGGTCCACACATGAGGGGTAAGATTGTGCCCCACCATGCCTGGGCTCAAGAGGAGACTGCCAGGGCCTCTTCCCGGCAGTGGCTCTGGCGTCCATCTGACCTGCTGCTGGATGGCTGCCCAGTGGCTGCAGCGCGGCTAACGGGAACTGTCTAGAGTGAGTCATCGCGCCCTGGTGGCTCACCTGGGCCCGCTGACTGTGCGTGGTCTCCGAATGAGCCCAGGAATGTGTGTGCCCTGTGTGTATGTGTACACGTGCGTGGGTCTGTGTCCTGGTGTGGGTGTTCATGCATGCAGGCCTGAGTGTGTATAAGGCTGTCTCTGAGTGTATCCAATATCCCAGGTGGCCTGTGTCTGTGTCTTGGTGAGTCTGATCTTGTCTATGTGTTGCCTGCCTGGCCCTTCCGGTACAGCCTGGCCTCTTCCCACCCCGGGAAAAGGTGTCTCTGTGTGTGTGTGTGTGCGCGTGTATGACGGAGAGAGCATGTGTGTGTGTGTCTCTGTGTATGTGTCTGTGCATCTCTGTGTCTGTGTGTGTACCTGTGTATGGATCTGTGTGTCTGTGTCTCTGTCTGTGTGTGTCTCTGTGTCTCTGTCTTTATGTGTGTGTGTGTGTGTCTCTGTACGTATGTGTGTGTGTATCTGTATGTGTGTCCGTGTGTGTGTGTGTGTGTTTCCTCGCATCTGACCCCCACCCCCGGACATTGCCAGGCAGCAACTCCTTGGTGGTGGCGGTCCTCTCCTGGGTCTCTTCCAGCCCTGCCTCCCTGCATAATCCCTGCAGAGCTCCACTCCTTCCGGTGTGTGCCCAGCTCGGGTCTACACCAGGCCAGGTGTCACCAAACTCTTAGAACTGCCTTGGGCCCCTGCCCTCCCTGTCCACACCACAGGTGTGCTGCCTCTGTGTGGTGCCCAAGCTCGATCCCAGGAAGGCTCCCACCCTCTGCACTCTGTCCTCACCAAGTCCGCTCTGCCGGAATATCCCGGGATCCTTTCACTCCCTCCCACACCACAGCCCTGGTTCCACTGCTCGTATTTCCAGTTGTGCCCCATGCCAACACCCCCAGCCACCTGTGCAGTCTATCCTCAGCTCTCACCAAGCTCAGAGACCCTGCTTGGAGCCTTAGGTGGCACCTCCTACCCACAGGAGCCCCCTCAGCAGCCTTGCTGCCCTGCCCCCGCCCACTGGGCCTGACTTTCAACACCAGCCCTTTTGCCCCCATTCTCTGCACACACACTACTCTGTTCCCTCTCTCCAGAACATTCTTCCTACACTGCCTGGCTCATACCTCACCCCTAAGGTCCCAGCTAACACTGCCCCCAGGGCAGTCCCGCCCTGCAGAACGCCTTATCCTTGCAGTCTTGCCTGTGTCTACACCAGACCTGGAGCCCCTGGGGCAGGGCCAGGAGGGTGCTGGTTGCCGCTGTGTCCTAGGCCCTAAGCTCTTGACAAGAATCAGTAGAAAGGATGACTCTGGGCGGGGTTCTGGCTCCAGGACGGCCCCCCAGCGCTGGGTGCTCCCGCACGCAGCGCCCACCCCGCAGCCCTGTCCGTGGCGCCCTGTTCCCGCTGCACGCTCTCAGCCGCGTTCTCGTGTCGGTCACCCCCAGCCCCTGCAGAATTCTGTCTTGTCCTTCTGCTGCCGGATCACTTCCTGGGGTGCCCGCGACCACTGTTGTCCCCGCAGGCTGCCCCCCACCCCAGCTTGTGACTAAAGTGTCTGTCTCCCCCGGAGTGGGAGGTCAAGACAGCGGCAAGTCCAGGAGCCTAGGTGCGGGGATCCTGAGGTCGCTCCCTGGCGGGAATCCAAAGTTAATTCTGCGGACGCGACAGGCGGGCCGGGGGCGCGGAGCGGGGCGGGGCCTGGCCGGGAGGGGCGGGGCCGCGACGGCGGCAGCCAATGGGCTGAATGAGGCCGGCGGCACCGCCCGCGAGCGCGCTCCGCAGTGGCCCGGCCGGGCTGGGCGGACCCGGGCGGGGTCCTAGCTGTGCGGCTGGGTAGCCTGGCGCGCGGTGTCCGCAGTCTGAGGTCTGCCGCCCGCGGCAGCGCAGGGCAGCGGGGCAGAGCGCGGCTCCCGCCCGCCCGCCCGGTGCGCCGGAGCTGGGACCAGCGACTGGACGCGACGGGCCGGCAGGCCCGCACCGCCTGGCCGCCGCGATGTGCGACTGCTTCCACATGGTGCTGCCTACCTGGCCCGGAACCCCCGGCAGCGGTGCGCCCTCCCCGCCTGCAGCCAGCTCCCGTGGGGCGGGTGGACTCCGCGCTAGGGCGCGCGCCGGGGCGTGTCCGGGGGCGCGCAGTGCGGGCTGTGGGGGCGGGGGACTCGGGGACGCCGGCTGGACTCGCGCGCTGTTCTGGGCCTCCCCGGCCGCTGGGGTCTCTTCTCCCGTGCCTCGCGTTCTACCTGTCTGCGACTCTCAGTCCCTGCTCCTCTCCCGGCCTCTGGGGCTGTCTCAGCCGCTCACTTTGTTTCTCGGTGGCTGACTCGTCTCTGTCGCGCACTCCCTCTGTCACTCGCGGTCCCTGTCTATCTCCTTTTCGCTCCTGCCCCGCTGCTGGGACGCTGTCTGGTCGAGAGGTGGCCTCCTGGGAGGTGCTACCGCGCTCTGGAGCGGGGCTGGTGTCTGCATGGGGCATGAAAGCCGGCGCCACCGGGACCCGGGGCACCTGCACCAGGCTTGCCCTCTCACCTGCTTTGGGGGAGAGCAGCCAGGCTGGTCCAGGAGTCTGGGCTCTCCACTTTGGTCCGAGGCTTCTAGGCAGGGTTGGGCAGCGTCTACTGTGTGGCTGTGTGGTGGGGTCGCTGGCTAGGTGGAGGCTGTGGCAGCGCTAGGCCTGAGGTCTGGGGCCTTGTGAGGGGCCTGAATGGGGTCAAAGTCAGGCCACAGGGTCCCTCAGTGCTGGGCAAGGGAAAGTGGGTGCTACCCACTGGCATGCTCCCAGGGATGGTCAGTAGCCTCCCTCTGAGCCGCAGGCTACAGAATGTGTACCTGCTGCTTTTTGTGTGTCTGTCCCTGCACTGGGCCTGGTTCCAGGGCCTGGGTGTCTCAGCATCTTGGAGGGCAGGGCTGGGGTGGGGGGGCAGTCCCGGGGTGGGGGGGCAGTCCCTTGGGCTAGGTCTATGCTGCTGCAGCCTGACCACACCCAGGGCCTTGGCAGCCACCGGCCAGGGGGTTGGGCTGTGCCGGCACTGGCACGGGCTGGACCCCACTCCTTGGGGAAAACAGGTCAATGCTAATGGTGCCACGCTGCAGGCGCAGAGGGGTGCCCTTGGCCTGGGCATGCCCCCCAGCCGCAGCAGGCACTACCAAGGCCCCTCCTGTGGTCTGTTTATCTGGTGCGCACTTAGGGTGGGAGACTTGTCTGAGGGACTCCAGAGCAGCGAGGCCCCTACAGCGCCTGCTTCATGGTGTTGCAGAAGGGAGTCCAAGGTGTCTGGGCTCAGCAGCGGGAGGATGATGGCCCCAGTGGGCTGGAGGCCCCCGGCCCCCTCCTCTTTCAGTATGACTGGCCCTGCCCACATGGCTGCAGGTCGACCTCCTCAGAGGGAGAAGGGCGGGGCCCCAAGGCATGGGACCACTACCCTGCCCCCAGCTTCCCTGTACAGCCCTTCCTCTCCACTTCCTCCCCACTCAGGGGCACCCAGAGACTCCCAAGTTGTAGGGTCCAGGACCACCTCATCCACCCCCTGCCTCCACAGAGGCCTGTGCTGGCTTCGTGGTTCCCAGCCTGTCTGAGGCAGTCCCTCCCTGCGTCCAGCCTACAGAACCATCTGCTCTTAGGGAATAAGGTCAGTGGCTCTCACTGGAGCTTTGGTAGGAGACTTGCAAGACCAGAGCCCTTGGGAGTTCTGTCCAGCACGCCAGTTCCCAGACCCTCCCCAACCCTGCGGCCTGGGAATGTGCATTCCTGACAAGCACCCTGCTACCTACTGCCTTTCCCAGCCTGGATTTGGTCCAGGCCTTTTTCACCTGCAGTCCCCTCTCAGCAGGCTGGAGATGGGCGGACTCTCCCCTGCTCTAGTCTTCCTGTTCAGTTCAAACCTGCCCTCTGCCAGCCGCACCAGGCACCAGCCCAGCAGGGAGCCATCTCCTGGGCAGCTTTTGTGCCGAGGCTGCCCCCTGGTGGCCTTGCTGGGAACACCCCACGCAGCGCTGCCGACTGTAACACCAGCCCGTTCACTCCCAGCGGGCTCTGGGTGTCACACCCTTGCCTACTCCAGGGGCGGGTTGCCTCCTTCCCAGGGGCAGAGCTGGATCCCCGATAGCTGGGGAGGCAGGGAACCCCTCCCTGGCCCTGGCCCCCACCCTGCACCTGCTGCCCCTGGCTTGGCCTGAGCACCTCCCACAATGACACCCCAAGCAAGCACCACCGTGCTGGGAAGGCCCCAGGTGCAGCGACGTCATGCGAAGATGTGTGGGTGGTCCCTCCTCTGGGATGGGGGTCATGAGATGGCTGGGCCCTTTCCCAAGAAGGGTGCAAAGCAGGGCAGCTGTGGAGGTGGTCTGCCTGTTCTGTGCCTCACTGGTGCCTTCTTCAGGGCCTTGGGCTGCAAATGTGGGTCAGGACCTCACATTCGGAGATGGGAGTGATCGCAGCTGCCTGTGCTGCTAGCGCCATGCAGCCAGGGATGCCAAGTGACAGCGCGGGCGGGCCTGTCACCACCCTAGTGTCTCCCTGACTGGGTCGTCCACACTGAGGGAGGGCTGTATTCCCATTCTGCAGACAGGGACACTGAGGCTGGGGACCGTGAGGCAGTGACTTCCTGGGCTTTTAGGGGCCAGAGCAGAATATTGCATGCTTTGGTCAGTGACATGCTGTTCTGACAGGTACTGGCTCTGCCCTGCCCCACCAGGCAGGGTGACTGCAGGCAAAGGAGCCCCTCTGTGGCCGCTAGTGGCAGGAATGGGCCCTGAGGAGGCAGCAGAGGGCATCCTGGAGTGCCCTCCAATAAGGTGGCCTCTCAGAAGCCACCAACAGTGATGTTGTAAGTGTGTTCCTAACAACCCCAGCGCTTTCCCTGGTGGGGAAACGGAAGCTGAACCACCAGGGAGGGAGGCTGGGCTGCCTGCTGGTCTCTGGCTCCTGCCCCAAACCTCAGGAGTGCCCACCTGATGCAGCTCAGGGAAGGGGGTGGGGCTCAGAAGTAGACAGGAGGGTCAAGCCCGCAGAGCCTCCAGTTCCAATGCCCCAGGAGACCCCTCCCTCCTGGCCTTCTCCATGCCCAGGAAGCTGAGTGCCCACTCCCATCTGGGCTCATCGTGGCTGGGCCTACAGCAGGAATGCCCTCATTGCCTTCTCTCCATTTGGCCAAGCTCTTCTGTCCTGGGCTGGGCTAGGAGCTGCCTCTTTCGGGAAGCCCCCTGGGTTGCTGGGCTCACTCCCAGCTCTCCCTTAGACTCTGGCCCCTCTGTGTCCTTCTCTTGTGACACCTATGCTGAAAGCCTCTGTGTTTCAGGCTCAGCTGGGGGCTGGCTTGGCCAGGTGTGGAGAAGTATAGGTGCTGGGGAGGAAAGGCCCCCAAACCCCAGCAAGTGGGGGGCACTGCCATCTGGGGGTCCCTGCCACCCACTTCAGGAGTAGAATGACACATTCTCCCAGCTTGGTCTTCTGGCTGGCAGAGGCACACCCTGCGCTCAGGGCTGGTGTGAGCTGTGGGAGTGCTTCCCGTCTGACTGGCTGCCTGTTCACCCATCCTTCTGGGTCTCAAAGCCACCCCGGGAGCCCTGGGACCTGGGAGGTCATACCTCAGCAGAGCAAGGATCCACCCATTGCTCATTCAACAAACGTGAACCCTATTTTTGTGGCCAGTGCAGCCGCAGGGGGCACAGAAGGGCCAGAGAGGGCTCCCTGGAGGAAAACTGGCCCAAATGGAGACTGGGACTGGTCATGAAAAAGAAGCGGAGGCAGAGCAGGAGGAGCTTGCAGAGGCCGAGGGTGAAGGCAGGGACCTGCAAGGTGTTCAACCCAGTGCATCTGGGACGGGTGGGGTGAGGATGGAGAGGTGGCAGTGCCAGCTGCTGGAGGGAGGGCTTTGTCCTGAGGGCACCGGGCAGCCCCATAGGTCTTAGGGCAGTTTTGGCAGGAAGGAAGCTGCTCCATGGGGGCTATGGAGGCCAGGTAGCCTGGAGGGAGCTTAGCGGAGTCTTAACTGGACACACAGGGAGGACGGGCCATGCCCCTCTGCTCCTCTCCATCCCCCCTAAGGGTGATGGAATCCCCGGCCACGCTGTGAGCTTCGAGGGTGTCTCCACCAGGCCCCACCTGCACTCAGTCTGAGCCTCCAGATTTCCCTTTATTTTTCTTTTTTTGGAAGCCATAGCCTGGCCGGGAGCCAAGGACTTCCTTGCTCGGATAAATATTTAATAGTCAGAAGCACTTTCTAAAATGGAAACATGGAGCTGGGCCCAGGAGGCAGGGGGTAGGGAGGGGCTGGGGCGGGAGGCGGTGATCCCCCATCCCCGCACCTACCAGAGGCCTACAGAGTTATTTGCAGCCACCGCCCTCCCCTCCGGCTGCCAGTCCCTGCCCCACCAGCTGTGCTGCGCCGACTTGGACTTGCTGACCCAGTGTGTGCTTGTGAGGGTGGGAGTGGCATCGGGGCCTCCTCTCTGCAGAGCTCTTGGGAGGGACTCCTTCCTGCAGGGGTGGTGGTGGTGGGACGGTAGGCAATTGCACAGGCTGTTCCGGGTAGGAGTCCGGAAAGGGATCTTAAGCCACACCCCTGCCTGGACACTGCAAAGGGTATAGCCAAGCAGGGGCAGCTGGGGATGCCCGGGACGCGGCAGGGGCGGGACACTTTGGGGAGCCTCACTGGGCTATGTCCCTGTGAGCCCTGCCAGCTGGAGGGGCTGTCAGGTGACGGCGTGTGGGTGGGTAGGAGGCCCCATGACTCAGCCCCACTGGGTGGAGTTAAGGCCCCCTTGTTTAGGGCTCCAGCCCTCGGTCCTCGGCCTGCTCCTGCTGCCTGGCAGGCCTGGCTCCTGAGTGAGCCAGTACCGTTGGCTCCTTGGTGACACATGCCCTGAGAATGCCGAGCTTCATGCCTTGGCCTCCTCCTGGCTGATTCACCATCCGCTGCCCTCGGCCCTGCCTGGCCCCCGCCAGCAGCCGAGTTCCCACCGCGACCCCTAGCTGATCCTGGGTCCTAACAGCTCTGAGCCGGGACTAGCTGTCCAGTGCACATCACCGGACATGCCGGATCTCAGGGTC